TATTCAGGACTACTTGAAGTTCTTGTTGATGTTTAAGTAGTCCATTAGCATTCCATGCCATAATTTTTAGCGTGTTTTTCATTTTTTATCGGATTTTTAGTGAAGGACTGTTTGGTTCCAATTTCCGGCCTTTGTAACCTGCCATCAAAAGATGACATTAATTTAAATATTTCATCCAACTTTACATCCAGATTGCTATGCGGTTGGTTTATGCTATTGTCACTTTTTGAGTAGTGTGTTTTAGCAGTGACTTGTGCATAGGTTTTCTCTCTCATATCTTGTGTTGATGGGCGTTTCGGTGCCACTTGTTCCAGATTATTCGCTAATGGTTTTTTAATGCTTTTATTTTTTAACTTTTGCATTTCCTTAGCTACTATACATCCTCTGTAATTAGCTGGATGTGCTTCTCCACAATGTACACATTTTGATTTTTCTTCTGCTGGTTTTTTGCAGTCTGGAGTGAGGTATTTTCCTGTACACTTGACGCATCGTGGTTCCTTGGAACAATATTTGGGCGTGTGGCCATATGCTTGACACCTTTTGCACTGTGGTACTAATTTTGATGTTTTGATTGGCTGCACTTCGACTTTACATCCTAAGATAGCCTTTATGCTATATATTTTGCTAATGTCCTCATAGTTTGAAAAGGTTAACATGAACAGATGGAGAGGCTCTTTGTTCTTCCAGCTGAGTTTTTTTGCTGCGCTTATTGTTTTTAGGGAGTTGTTTTGTAGATATTCTACAATTCTCTCGGGTTTGCATGTATAGTGCAGATTTTTGACCATGACTCTAATAGGTCTTTCCTGCTTGTTTTCGTATGAGTGCCATTGATGGCATAACTGATATGAAGAAGTTCTGCAAAGCGGCCGGCATTAGTTTCGACTATAAGAAACTCGTTGAAGGTACGTATAAATAATACAAGATAAATGTGATAATGACGTATAATGGCTAAAAGACTTGGACCTGTCCAGAACTAATTAACGAGTTAGATAGAGGCCCTCTAAACCTACACCTGGGTCGCAAGTCCCAGGCACTGTTGAAGCTCCTCTCCCTGGAATACATTGAAATATTAATTAATTTTATGTTAATATCACAGGATGCACAAAGAACAAGGAGCGTGTGGCTAAGATGTTGGATCTACTGACAGCTGCGGGTCTAGAAGGGAAGGCGACGTTGGAGAAATGTAAAGCGTTGAAATTTAAAGCCAAGCTAGACAAGAGAAAACAAGAGATCCTGGCTAAGAAAGAGGCACGCTCCAAACATAAATAAGAAGACGGTAATAATATATATATATATATATATATTTATATTAATAATATGTAATTTGACACGGCGATTTTAATTAATAGTTACAAAATAATGATCTGAAAACATCAGTACAATGAAATTAACTACTCACAGAGTCATATACGTAAAATAGACTCAAAAATAATTAGTAAAACAATATGTGTAGATAAAATACTAGAGCGATTTTTCTATCGCACACTGATTCTATATTTTTTTCGAGATGTTCTTTACTATATATAATAATAATAAAGCCCTGATTACTCCAAGACATAGGTTACAGTTAAAAAAATACATTAAGCTAACAAACAAACAGTAAAGTTAAATATGTCATGGCCCCTTTCGCGTATAGGCGTCCACCAGTTGCCTTTTTATATTGTTACCATTTCTTCTGACTTAACTGCCAGTTCAATAATGTCATATTTAATGTTATCTAAAGAGTATTGTAGCAGTAGCGTTCTTTGCTATGGTGATAGGTATTTTACATTGTATGTATTAATGTAAAGGTTTTGTTTGTTGGCTTGTTAAAGTGTTATAGTTTAGAGCCGCCACGGTAACTTTAATTGCGATTTCGAGAGGATTATATTCACTTTATATAAATATATTACTAGCTGCGCCCCGCGGATTTCCGGGATGTACAGTAGCCTATGTGTTATTCAAAATTCTGTTCAGCCGTTTGAGCGTGAAGAAGTAACAAACATACATACACACTCACAAACTTTCGCAATTGTAATATTAGTAGGATAATTGTATGTTATCGTTCCAGAGGTGGAGAGTGAGTCTTCAGCTCGCCGCATGACGCGAGGCGAGACGGGCGTCAAGCCTAGGCAGCGTATAGTGATATTTTCAGACGAGGAGGACGGAACCCCGGCCGCGTCTGTTCAGTGTAACAGTCAAACGGTACTTATTTCCCGGTTTGATTCCCATTTGTTAAAATATATTTATAAAGTTTACAGTATATATCTGACTTGAACTATATTTGATACTATCAAAGTATAAAATTAATGATATTATGTTGATATAGTCATGTATATAATTAACTATATATATGTATACATATAAAGTGATTAGGGCGCGGGTTCAAACCTGGCAAGTACCAATGTGATTTTTCGGAGTCACATGTACTTTCTGAGAGTATTTAGACATCACTGACATATGGTGAGGGAAAACATCGTGGGGAAACCTGGACTTATAGTTTCACAATTATAATTTTGAAATCGCCAACCCGTCTTGAGCAAGCGTGGTGATTAATGCTCAAACCTTCTCCATGTGAGAAAGAGGCCTTTGCTCAGAAGTGGGCGCTGATAGGCTGATGACGATGTATATATGATGTTATATATATACAGGATGACTGGTGAATTACTATCAATATTTAAGGAGCATACTCGGTACATGATTCTCATTCGAATTATGTAAAAAAAATAGGCACTTAATTTTTGACAAAATTTCCGTATAAATAAGTAAAGTGTTGACACGTTCCAAGTGTTCAAGTGTGGACGCGTGCGGCGACGTGTTGATACAACACCACGTCACGACATGCGTATGTGTGAGTGTCAGTGTATACCTAATCTGTAGGGTGTTCATACGATGCGTAATTAATTACATAACTTTTGGTTAACTTTACTTAGAAGTTTATTGATATTTATGTTATATTAATTTTTATTTTGTCATATATGATCGTCAAATATCACGTCCTCAAATATTGATAGTACATAATTCACCAGTCACCCTGTATATATAGATAACATTATTGTAAAACATTATTAACAAATTACAGTGATTGTATCAGATAGTTCATGAATAGTGTTTATTCCCAGGATATGCCATCAAAGCGTGGTCCAGGACTGCCGAAAGGCTCCAAGAACGCGTCACCCCGCACTCTCGGGAGCGGGAGTGGTCGCCGGGGCAGGCCGCCGGTCCCGCCGGAACTGCGCCAGCCTGGCATAACTGATATGAAGAAGTTCTGCAAAGCGGCCGGCATTAGTTTCGACTATAAGAAACTCGTTTAATTGGCCTCATTTGTGAATAGGCGTCTTCTTGGCGAATTCGAAATTCCCTATTCAGTATATAAGACTCAAGAATGTCAGCAAATGGTCGCGGTAGCATTAATTTGAGCTTGTGTATGAGTCCTTCATGCCAAACTTTATCAACGGCTTGAGCTACATCAAGGAATATTGTAGAGCAAACCTTTTTTTCCTCCAGTGCTTTTTTTCTATAAAGTTGGTTATTCTATGTACCTGATCAATTGTTGAATGCTTTTCTCTAAAACCAAATTGATGGTCAGGAATAAGGTTACTGTTTTCAATAACTGGTTTTAGTCTTTTTAACAATAGTTTCTTGAATACTTTGGTTATAACTGGTAGTAGAGAAATTGGTCTATATGAAGCTGGTTCATGTGGTGGTTTTCCAGGTTTTGGTATCATAATTATTTCAGCTACCTTCCATAAGTCGGGTATATACTTTAATCGAAAAGAAGCATTTATTAAAGTTGTCAGTTAAATAATCGCTTTACGATTAAAATTTTTCAAAATTTCACCGGTTATAAGGTCGGGGCCAGGTGATTTTTTTGAGTTGATATGGTTCTTAATCATATTTGAAACTTCTTTTGGTGTGACGAGCTTTATTTCTAAATTGTCATATTTTGGCATTTGATCAGTATTTGTTTTTTTCACCAGCGATCGATGGTTCGACGATGGGTTGAAATATAAGTTCTAGGTATTGGGCAAATCTTTCAGCTTTTTGCTGGTTACTTTTGGCCCATTTCCCGTCTTCTTCCCTTATGGGTGGAACTTGTGTGATATGTTTATTCATGTTTTTAGTTGTTTCCACAGGTTATTATCTGATTTAGAGTCTGTGTTTAGCTGTTGTTAGTAATTGTTGGTAACTGAATTGTTGTAATTTAATATTTCTCTTTTCAGGCGTTTGGTCAAATGATTAAGCTCGGTTTTATCGTGAGGGCAGCGGGTTAGGTGCCATTTTCTACGCTGTCTTCGTTTTTGTCTTATAAGACTGTAATATATTCAGGATAAACAGTTTTTCTGACCCACATTGGCTTGTTTGGTGTATTTTGCCAAGCAGCCTGCTGTACGTCTATACTAATATTATAAAGCTGAAGAGTTTGTTTGTTTGTTTGTTTGTTTGTTTGTTTGAAAGCGCTAATCTCCGAAACTACTGGTTCGAATTGAATAATTCTTTTTGTGTTGGATAGTCCACTTATCGAGGAAGGCTGTGGGCTATATAACATCACGCTACGACCAATAGGAGCAAAGATATAGTGGTAAATGTGTAAAAAACGGGAGAAATTATTTCATCTTTGAAGCCTTCCGTTGCGTGCGCCGTGAAAACGGTTCAAGATGCACCATAAAATATGTATTAAAGAATAATAGCTCTTTTACTGATCTAAAAAACAGTCCGCGACAGTATATGTCTATCTTTTAAGATTAACTCACAAAAACCGTTTTTATGGTACCTAACTTGGTCGAAATAATTTGTTTAAGTTGTATCAACATAATAATATTAATCTTTATTCAAATAAACAAATAAATATGTTGTTGGTTAAGAGTACTTCACTGTGAATAAAAAAAACATAGGCTTTATCCTGAAAATTCTACGAGAACTCGACCATTCCGAAAACCCCGCAAGAACGGGAACTATGTGGGAAGAACCAAAAATCTGCCGGAAGTCACTATTCCACGCGGACGGAGTCGCGGCAAAAGCTAGTCTACTATAAATTGTCTAACTTCTGAATCTAATTGTTCTGTCGTTTTCAGCGGAACTTTTAATTCTATTCTGTTATCTAGGTCTAATCTAAGACTATCCCAATCTGTGTACTTGTTAACTAAGATTGGTCGTTTCTCATAACGCAGCATTCGTCTACATAATGTTAATAGTATAGGAGAATGATCCGAGTTCATATAGTTAAAGTCTTCTATATTAATCTCATTACTTGGTATGTTTTTGCAGATAAAGAAGTCTATCAAGTCTGGGATTCTGTCTGGATCTGTAGGCCAGTAGGTTGGTTTCCCTGTAGACACAGATTCACAGTGTAACTCTTGTATGGCTTTCAGTAATTGCCCTCCTTTAGTATTATTCAGTCTCGATCCCCAGTAAGTATGCTTGGCGTTAAAATCACCTCCTACTATGAATCTTTGTCCATGTTGCCTTAGAAAACTTACATATTCTTCTTTTGAGATACTGTATCTAGGTGGACAATATACAGCCGCTATTGTAAGAGGGTAATGTTTACACTCTAGTCGTATTGCCACTGCTTGTATTTCTGGTTGTTCGTACTTGATTTCTTCATAGTGTTGAAGATTTTCTTTTACTATTATTGCACTGCCTCCATGTGCACTGTTTCCTGGGTGTAGTGCATGATAAACTTTATAACTTAGCATAACATTGTTTAGTGAAGTGAGTTTCTGATACAAGACATATATCAATATTTTCGATATTCAGGACTACTTGAAGTTCTTGTTGATGTTTAAGTAGTCCATTAGCATTCCATGCCATAATTTTTAGCGTGGTTTTCATTTTTTATCGGATTTTTTAGTGAAGGACTGTTTGGTTCCAATTTCCCGCCTTTGTAACCTGCCATCAAAAGATGACATTAATTTAAATATTTCATCCAACTTTACATCCAGATTGCTATGCGGTTGGTTTATGCTATTGTCACTTTTTGAGTAGTGTGTTTTAGCAGTGACTTGTGCATAGGTTTTCTCTCTCATATCTTGTGTTGATGGGCGTTTCGGTGCCACTTGTTCCAGATTATTCGCTAATGGTTTTTTAATGCTTTTATTTTTTAACTTTTGCATTTCCTTAGCTACTATACATCCTCTGTAATTAGCTGGATGTGCTTCTCCACAATGTACACATTTTGATTTTTCTTCTGCTGGTTTTTTGCAGTCTGGAGTGAGGTATTTTCCTGTACACTTGACGCATCGTGGTTCCTTGGAACAATATTTGGGCGTGTGGCCATATGCTTGACACCTTTTGCACTGTGGTACTAATTTTGATGTTTTGATTGGCTGCACTTCGACTTTACATCCTAAGATAGCCTTTATGCTATATATGTATTTTGCTAATGTCCTCATCGTTTGAAAAGGTTAACATGAACAGATTGAGAGGCTCTTTGTTCTTCCAGCTGAGTTTTTTTTTGCTGCGCTTATTGTTTTTAGGGAGTTGTTTTGTAGATATTCTACAATTCTCTCGGGTTTGCATGTATAGTGCAGATTTTTGACCATGACTCTAATAGGTCTTTCCTGCTTGTTTTCGTATGAGTGCCATTGATGGCATAACTGATATGAAGAAGTTCTGCAAAGCGGCCGGCATTAGTTTCGACTATAAGAAACTCGTTGAAGGTACGTATAAATAATACAAGATAAATATGATAATGACGTATAATGGCTAAAAGACTTGGACCTGTCCAGAACTAATTAACGAGTTAGATAGAGGCCCTCTAAACCTACACCTGGGTCGCAAGTCCCAGGCACTGTTGAAGCTCCTCTCCCTGGAATACATTGAAATATTAATTAATTTTATGTTAATATCACAGGATGCACAAAGAACAAGGAGCGTGTGGCTAAGATGTTGGATCTACTGACAGCTGCGGGTCTAGAAGGGAAGGCGACGTTGGAGAAATGTAAAGCGTTGAAATTTAAAGCCAAGCTAGACAAGAGAAAACAAGAGATCCTGGCTAAGAAAGAGGCACGCTCCAAACATAAATAAGAAGACGGTAATAATATATATATATATATATATATATATATATATATATATATTTATATTAATAATATGTAATTTGACACGGCGATTTTAATTAATAGTTACAAAATAATGATCTGAAAACATCAGTACAATGAAATTAACTACTCACAGAGTCATATACGTAAAATAGACTCAAAAATAATTAGTAAAACAATATGTGTAGATAAAATACTAGAGCGATTTTTCTATCGCACACTGATTCTATATTTTTTTCGAGATGTTCTTTACTATATATAATAATAATAAAGCCCTGATTACTCCAAGACATAGGTTACAGTTAAAAAAATACATTAAGCTAACAAACAAACAGTAAAGTTAAATATGTCATGGCCCCTTTCGCGTATAGGCGTCCACCAGTTGCCTTTTTATATTGTTACCATTTCGTCTGACTTAACTGCCAGTTCAATAATGTCATATTTAATGTTATCTAAAGAGTATTGTAGCAGTAGCGTTCTTTGCTATGGTGATAGGTATTTTACATTGTATGTATTAATGTAAAGGTTTTGTTTGTTGGCTTGTTAAAGTGTTATAGTTTAGAGCCGCCACGGTAACTTTAATTGCGATTTCGAGAGGATTATATTCACTTTATATAAATATATTACTAGCTGCGCCCCGCGGATTTCCGGGATGTACAGTAGCCTATGTGTTATTCAAAATTCTGTTCAGCCGTTTGAGCGTGAAGAAGTAACAAACATACATACACACTCACAAACTTTCGCAATTGTAATATTAGTAGGATAATTGTATGTTATCGTTCCAGAGGTGGAGAGTGAGTCTTCAGCTCGCCGCATGACGCGAGGCGAGACGGGCGTCAAGCCTAGGCAGCGTATAGTGATATTTTCAGACGAGGAGGACGGAACCCCGGCCGCGTCTGTTCAGTGTAACAGTCAAACGGTACTTATTTCCCGGTTTGATTCCCATTTGTTAAAATATATTTATAAAGTTTACAGTATATATCTGACTTGAACTATATTTGATACTATCAAAGTATAAAATTAATGATATTATGTTGATATAGTCATGTAAATAATTAACTATATATATGTATACATATAAAGTGATTAGGGCGCGGGTTCAAACCTGGCAAGTACCAATGTGATTTTTCGGAGTCACATGTACTTTCTGAGAGTATTTAGACATCACTGACATATGGTGAGGGAAAACATCGTGGGGAAACCTGGACTTATAGTTTCACAATTATAATTTTGAAATCGCCAACCCGTCTTGAGCAAGCGTGGTGATTAATGCTCAAACCTTCTCCATGTGAGAAAGAGGCCTTTGCTCAGAAGTGGGCGCTGATAGGCTGATGACGATGTATATATGATGTTATATATATACAGGATGACTGGTGAATTACTATCAATATTTAAGGAGCATACTCGGTACATGATTCTCATTCGAATTATGTAAAAAAAAATAGGCACTTAATTCTTGACAAAATTTCCGTATAAATAAGTAAAGTGTTGACACGTTCCAAGTGTTCAAGTGTGGACGCGTGCGGCGACGTGTTGATACAACACCACGTCACGACATGCGTATGTGTGAGTGTCAGTGTATACCTAATCTGTAGGGTGTTCATACGATGCGTAATTAATTACATAACTTTTGGTTAACTTTACTTAGAAGTTTATTGATATTTATGTTATATTAATTTTTATTTTGTCATATATGATCGTCAAATATCACGTCCTCAAATATTGATAGTACATAATTCACCAGTCACCCTGTATATATAGATAACATTATTGTAAAACATTATTAACAAATTACAGTCATTGTATCAGATAGTTCATGAATAGTGTTTATTCCCAGGATATGCCATCAAAGCGTGGTCCAGGACTGCCGAAAGGCTCCAAGAACGCGTCACCCCGCACTCTCGGGAGCGGGAGTGGTCGCCGGGGCAGGCCGCCGGTCCCGCCGGAACTGCGCCAGCCTGGCATAACTGATATGAAGAAGTTCTGCAAAGCGGCCGGCATTAGTTTCGACTATAAGAAACTCGTTTAATTGGCCTCATTTGTGAATAGGCGTCTTCTTGGCGAATTCGAAATTCCCTATTCAGTATATAAGACTCAAGAATGTCAGCAAATGGTCGCGGTAGCATTAATTTGAGCTTGTTTATGAGTCCTTCATGCCAAACTTTATCAACGGCTTGAGCTACATCAAGGAATATTGTAGAGCAAACCTTTTTTTCCTCCAGTGCTTTTTCTATAAAGTTGGTTATTCTATGTACCTGATCAATTGTTGAATGCTTTTCTCTAAAACCAAATTGATGGTCAGGAATAAGGTTACTGTTTTCAATAACTGGTTTTAGTCTTTTTAACAATAGTTTCTTGAATACTTTGGTTATAACTGGTAGTAGAGAAATTGGTCTATATGAAGCTGGTTCATGTGGTGGTTTTCCAGGTTTTGGTATCATAATTATTTCAGCTACCTTCCATAAGTCGGGTATATACTTTAATCGAAAAGAAGCATTTATTAAAGTTGTCAGTTTAATAATCGCTTTACGATTAAAATTTTTCAAAATTTCACCGGTTATAAGGTCGGGGCCAGGTGATTTTTTTGAGTTGATATGGTTCTTAATCATATTTGAAACTTCTTTTGGTGTGACGAGCTTTATTTCTAAATTGTCATATTTTGGCATTTGATCAGTATTTGTTTTTTTCACCAGCGATCGATGGTTCGACGATGGGTTGAAATATAAGTTCTAGGTATTGGGCAAATCTTTCAGCTTTTTGCTGGTTACTTTTGGCCCATTTCCCGTCTTCTTCCCTTATGGGTGGAACTTGTGTGATATGTTTATTCATGTTTTTAGTTGTTTCCACAGGTTATTATCTGATTTAGAGTCTGTGTTTAGCTGTTGTTAGTAATTGTTGGTAACTGAATTGTTGTAATTTAATATTTCTCTTTTCAGGCGTTTGGTCAAATGATTAAGCTCGGTTTTATCGTGAGGGCAGCGGGTTAGGTGCCATTTTCTACGCTGTCTTCGTTTTTGTCTTATAAGACTGTAATATATTCAGGATATAAACAGTTTTTCTGACCCACATTGGCTTGTTTGGTGTATTTTGCCAAGCAGCCTGCTGTACGTCTATACTAATATTATAAAGCTGAAGAGTTTGTTTGTTTGTTTGTTTGAAAGCGCTAATCTCCGAAACTACTGGTTCGAATTGAATAATTCTTTTTGTGTTGGATAGTCCAGTTATCGAGGAAGGCTGTGGGCTATATAACATCACGCTACGACCAATAGGAGCAAAGATATAGTGGTAAATGTGTAAAAAACGGGAGAAATTATTTCATCTTTGAAGCCTTCCGTTGCGTGCGCCGTGAAAACGGTTCAAGATGCACCATTAAATATGTATTAAAGAATAATAGCTCTTTTAATGATCTAAAAAACAGTCCGCGACAGTATATGTCTATCTTTTAAGATTAACTCACAAAAACCGTTTTTATGGTACCTAACTTGGTCGAAATAATTTGTTTAAGTTGTATCAACATAATAATATTAATCTTTATTCAAATAAACAAATAAATATGTTGTTGGTTAAGAGTACTTCACTGTGAATAAAAAAAACATAGGCTTTATCCTGAAAATTCTACGAGAACTCGACCATTCCGAAAACCCCGCAAGAACGGGAACTATGTGGGAAGAACCAAAAATCTGCCGGAAGTCACTATTCCACGCGGACGGAGTCGCGGCAAAAGCTAGTCTACTATAAATTGTCTAACTTCTGAATCTAATTGTTCTGTCGTTTTCAGCGGAACTTTTAATTCTATTCTGTTATCTAGGTCTAATCTAAGACTATCCCAATCTGTGTACTTGTTAACTAAGATTGGTCGTTTCTCATAACGCAGCATTCGTCTACATAATGTTAATAGTATAGGAGAATGATCCGAGTTCATATAGTTAAAGTCTTCTATATTAATCTCATTACTTGGTATGTTTTTGCAGATAAAGAAGTCTATCAAGTCGGGGATTCTGTCTGGATCTGTAGGCCAGTAGGTTGGTTTCCCTGTAGACACAGATTCACAGTGTAACTCTTGTATGGCTTTCAGTAATTGCCCTCCTTTAGTATTATTCAGTCTCGATCCCCAGTAAGTATGCTTGGCGTTAAAATCACCTCCTACTATGAATCTTTGTCCATGTTGCCTTAGAAAACTTACATATTCTTCTTTTGAGATACTGTATCTAGGTGGACAATATACAGCCGCTATTGTAAGAGGGTAATGTTTACACTCTAGTCGTATTGCCACTGCTTGTATTTCTGGTTGTTCGTACTTGATTTCTTCATAGTGTTGAAGATTTTCTTTTACTATTATTGCACTGCCTCCA